TACTATGTCACACTGCAGAATACAGTGTTGCCCACAATACAGTTGCTTAATCTTGCCATAAGATTATCAATCTCTTAAACAATTAATAACTATTTAATTTGACGTTTGGCTGAAAACCGAATTTTGGCAAAGTTGTAGCTGATAAAAATTCCCCTAAGAATAGCAATAGAAATTTTTAACAGTACAGTATGTAAAAGCCTAGAAGACAATGATCAAAACAGTTTTGTTTTCCCATAGTAATTTCCATATAAACTTCAAATGGTTTGTGCCAAGTCAGTTTCTTATCAAATGAGTTTAAACTTTCGGAGGCTAATCAGGACCCAATTTGAAACCGTTTGAACACTGTGGAGCGATAATTTCAAATTTTGCATCAGTCTAATGTATAGTATTGTGACCAAGAATCCTCGGCTCTGTAAAGTGAATTCGTTTGAGCCTTATAAAATAATTTAATAAACTAGCCTGTTTACGTCTCATTGCGCATTACCTTGATAATTAACAATTCGCCTTTTCGGTCACTCTGTAATTCTTTACTCCTAAGATAAAATCCCGTAAGCAAACGTCAGTTTGTTCGTGAAACATGGTGAACATTTCCTTACCCTTCACTTCTATGAAAATTCCATACTTACTTACTTAAGGGTCCTGTGCACCACCAGCGGTGCAAAGGGCCAACGTGAAAGACTTCCATCCTGGGCGGCTGCTCGCTTTTGCCTTGACCTGGGCCCAGGTCAGATTTCTATCGACTTGCTGTGCCAGTTTACCCTGCTGGGCTAACGTCAATACATTCCATGATCCAATTCGTGTCCGTTGTTTTGCGCTAAAAGTCATTGCCGTTAAATCAATTCGATGTCTTTCTCTGTTGGTTTCTGTAACAATTGTAAAGGTTTCAGAGACAGTAGGTGGTTGGCCTAAGGTCTCTTATCCGCCGTGATGGGGCTGCCATCTTAGGTGTAGCTTCCGGGGAAGAGCATTTCTTATTCAGCCGCTGGATGCCAGTCAGACGCTGTTTGAGCCGCACCTCCATGGTGAACAGACGCTCGGGTTGGCGAAGCATTTCCTCTATCACCGTGCTATGTTATGATTGACAACATTGCCCAGGCTACGCCAACCAGCTGTGCCCATGTTTCAGCTGGCAGTCTTTTGTGATCATATGACTCGTGGAGGCGTGAGGTAGGAACTTGTGAGGACCGGAGCTAGGTATATCGCTGCTTCCAGATTGTCACTCACCATTTTGTAGCCCATGACGAAATCCCATACGATACTGTCAATCTTTCCGTGATGAGACGGCGGTTTGCTGGTACCATGGTGGAATGAAGAGATAACACAAAGTCAGCTAGATTTCATGCACAGATTGTCAGATGCTTATGAGATTTTATCTTATAGGCCCACGCACATTAGATCCGGATCGAACGCGTTGCGGCAAAGTGACAGCTAAATCTATTGTCTAACTGTCAAATTTTCGTCAACGCAACGCGAACGGATCTAATGTGGGTGGCCCTTAAGAGAAAAGAGTTGCGAGTCTACGTCATCGTCAATGCTTTCTGAGCATGCAACCGTATATCTGCTTTTCTTTCATAAGGGCCAATGCCACAAACGCAAACAATTCGACAGTGAGCATGCATAAGGGCCTATACGCGATGATCGATTCTCTTCGTCGATTTTCTCTTTTGTTAATAACTCGCTAGATTTAACGTTTCTCGGTGCGTTTGCTGTTGCTTTTGATAGCCAATACAACCTGTTACTACTTTGCATTGAACAAATTCTAGAAAATTGTTTCGCTTAGCTGTAGCAATGCAAAGAGTATGCATGCTCACTGTCGAATTACTTTTTCCGCGATTTTCTCGATAATGAAATCTCACTCAAGTAAACCACCAAGATGATTGTGTAGAGCGAGACTCATCCTATCCGGTAGAATTGAAGCATAGAGGTAACTCTAAGACTCGATTTGCTTGGGGCCAATAGGCTAGTCAAGTAGTGAGCCAATTTAAAATCGTTAGTTTCGTATTGATTGTTGATTGAAGGCTTACATGGATTGACTTTGAACTACAAGAAATTCTCGATGAACATTTCAAATGGTCCTATCTGCTTTGATCGATTCTCTTCATCGACTTTCTCTTTCGTTAATAACTCAGCTGCAAAACCTTTCCCTGTTGTATTTGACGTTTTGGACGCTAGATAAGAACCTCCTTTATCAAACTATGTGGTAGAATTAGCGCGAAATCTGTTTGTATAGCAGTGGTTATGGAAAGAGAAAGTCGATGAAGAGAATCGATCAAAGCAGATAGGACCATTTGAAATGTTCATCGAGAATTCACGAACGAAGCCATTGTTTACGTTTTCGACATTGGTTCTTATGAACGCTCAGTGTCCATTTCACGAACATTTTATTTTGACAGATCGATGTCCAACTATGTCAGTTATACCACTGAGGCAACAGATAAAAGGAGTCAACTTTTATCAGCTATTTTGCATAAAGTTCCACATATGTTATGTGCCTTAAATTAGTATGAATGAACCTGACATAAGAGGTATAATACCTAAAAATAATACCGAAAAAAATTTCCTACAATACCATTCCAATACGAAATTAAGCAAATGTAATACCAAACAATACCACACAGGTATTCTTTTGGTATCCAAATAACAATTTTTGTCATTTACAAAGTATTTTGCATGCAATTTTTTAATATTTTACCTCTTATGTCATGCTGATCAATACCAAATTTTGGTATCAGGTCTGAATTAGGTAAAGTCTGTTCCATTTAGAATTTGGCCGCACAAAATTGGTCATTTCTCCAAGGGGAAATAAAGTTTAAAAAAAACGCTAAAGGTACCATTTTTTAGGATTTTTATTTAGCTTTAAGGGAAGAATACAACAAAAATTATTCGTCAGCTTTTCGGATGAATTTTCGAACTTTTCGCGGAATACCTCGCATCATGCCTTGCACAGTAGTACTGTCAGCCGGCGCCGGTGGAGTAGTGGTAAGCGTGACTGCTTTCTAACACCCCAATGGGTCTGGGTTCAATCCCAGCCGAGGTCGGTGGGATTTTTCTGAGGTATAAAAATCTCTGGTCACGTCTTCCTTCGGAAGGGAAGTAAAGCCGTTGGTCCCGGCCCATGTGTGTTGTGAATGGGTGCGATATCCTACGCAGGTGTGGAAGCTGCCTTCCTGCACATTCGATTGCCGTCAATGGATGGCAATCGATGTCCGTCGGTGATTGGCACTAGATTGCGGAACAGAGACCGACGTTAAATAAAGGAATGAACAACAGTAGTACTGTCAACCTCATCTACCATCCTTTTCCACCACTTCTCCAAATCAGATGGTGTTTGATTGTTTTGCCACATTTCTTCAATTTGCGCTTGATAATTGCCCAAAATTTTTCAATGGGACGAATATCTAGACAATTTGGTGGATTGATACTTTTCTCAATAAAATCGACATTATTCTGCTTATACCATTCTATGAGATCGCGCCTGTAATGGCAGCTGGCTAAGTCAGGCCAGAACTTTACGGGACCTTCGTGTGATTGAATGAACGGCAAAATTATGTTCTGGAGACATTCCTCCTTGTAAAGTTGTCCATTCATAGTCGCTCCAGTGATGAAAACCTTTGGTTTCTTTCCGCAACTGCAGATGCCTTGCCAAATCACCAACTTGCGAGCGAATTTATCTGCAAAGACAAATTTGAATTTATCCGGAGCATCCCCCTTACGTTTAACAAAGTAAAATTTTTAGCCCGGGATTTGTCCATAGTCCATTTTTACGTAAGTTTCATCGTCCGTTATACTTGGTCAGAACTTGCTCGTACAGCTTCCTTGCACGGTTTTTGGCAACCAGATTCGCCGAACTGTTGTCGCACTGAACCTTTTCGCCAAATCACGACCGGAGATCCCAGGATTCTATTGGACTACCCTTATGACCTTCGCTTGTAGTTTTCGGTCATATGTTCCACTTGCGCGATCCAACGTTAGTGTTTCCCGGTAACGTTTAAGCACGGTATTTACAGTCGATTTTGGAAGTTTGAAAGCCATTGCAATCATTCCTCCTGGCCACGGTGGATTTTGCACGTGAGTGTGCAGAATTTTTTCACGTCTGTCACGTTCCATCTTCGATAACTTTTGAACAAGTATATGAATCCTGATGATATTTTCACTACTAAATAAAGAATCCTTCCGGATCAAAACGTTGTGAATAGTTTCTTGAGGCGCTACAGTAATTAAAAAGAAACGACCAAATACTAACTGAAACATACTTAATTCATTAGTTATTTTCTCCTGCTCGGGTTTGCTGAGCAATTTGAAATAAAAATTACGTTGCTCGAAATTAGCTGATCTACAACTTTGCTAATCAGCGGCGCCGGTTGTGTAGTGGTAAGTGTGATTGCCTCTCACCCTAGCAGGGTTAAATCCCAGTCGGCGCCGCCGGGATGTTCTGATGCATTAACATCTCTGATCACGCCTTCCTTCGGAAGGGAAGTAAACCCGTTGGTCCCCGGTTCATGAGTTGATGGGTCGATATGTAGGGTCCAGGTGTGGGAGCTGCCTTCCTGGCGTCGGTAGCATTGGTGCTCAGCACGGAAAACAAGATCGACGGAAAACAAATCAAGGAAAAAAAAACTATGCTTATTGCTGCAAATAAAAAAGTCAGTTTTTTTATTTAGATATAAAATTCTAGTATTAATTGACGCCAAAATATGGGCCCAACTGTAAGAAACAACTTTGTAGAAGACACTTTTTTCTAACATTTCAATTTCCGGCTTTAAATGCATTTTCCCTGCTATATTCTCATGCTGGACCACTGTGGAACGGAGCATCTTTTGTTCTAGCACTTTTTTAAACTCATTTGTGCATTTCAAACCAACTAGAACTCTTCTGGGAAGGAAAGGGCTAACTCCATGTTCCCAAAATCATAGCTTCTCATACCGCCTTCTTCTTATAAGTTGTAATACTTTACCGATAAATATCTTCACCTGCTTTTCTTCATTCTTTACCCCTCACAGTGTCATGCCAGAGTATCGCGACAAAATCAGTATCTGCAACTATCGGTTCATCAAGGAATTCACCAAAGGCGTCGAATCGGACTGGACCGTCAATATTGTGAGCCACTTCAAGCCGAGTGACTTAATAGACGAAGAGGAACGCCAATAATGTGCGCTAAAAGATTTAGATTTAGCTAGTGGGATTGTGTATATTTTGTGAATAAATACTAAACGCGACAAGGTTGTCAACAACTGATGAGAATAATCTTTCAATCTATTTCTCCAAAAGCGCGTGCATAGCACATGGAATGTTCTGTTTGCAGACGACTGACGTTGCGATTCCTAATCTTTAGCGAACGCGTGCATAACTAATCAGTTTTCTTCTGCCTGACTTTGAAGAGCTTTCGCCTGCTCTCGACTTCTCTTCTTTGAAGCATTCCCAACAGGCTTGAACATGCTCATTACAGCTAAAATGCTACTTCTCGTTATTAGGAAACTATGAGATAAAAACCTATATTCTTGTTTTCGTTCGAACCGTATTTTTCATACAAAAAACTTTTTATATGGAAAATACGGTTTGAACGAAAACGAGAATATTGGTGATAGTAATAGCTTTTATATGCAAGATACAAGAAGAGGATGTAAAGTCTCTGTGATAAATATTCTGCTTCGGCCACTCATTTCAGCTAACAGTCATTGTCAAGGCAAACCATTTCAATTGGGGTGGGGGGGGGGGGGGGGTTGGAAGGAAAGGGGTGTAAGTGACTTTGATCGATTCTCTTCATCGACTTTCTCTTTTGATAGCCACAGCGTTATAAACAGATTTTTATTTATTTTTAACTTTATTTCTGCCACACAGTTTGATAAAGGAGGTTCTCGTCCAGCATCCAAAATGGCACACCAGTATAGGAATGTGTAAGCAGCTGAATTATTAACGAAAGAGAAAATCGATGAAAAGAATCGATCAAAGTCAATTACACCTCTTTCCTTCTAACCCCCTCAATTGTCAGAGACAAAGCTGTTAGTGACGAACATGTGCAGATTTTTTTATTAGCTAAATTTGAAACGCAATTAAATTACTTGAGCAAAACAATTGATCATTTTGTCAAGCTTCTGCATACATGTTCCATCAGATGTCACAGCTGTTGTTTGCGGTGACATCTATCGGAAACTAGACACAATCTGTTTTCTTATAATTGTTCACAGAGGACACTGCAGTGCAAAAGATGTCTGGTACCTCTATATATGCATTTAGATTATTATTCGAAGTTCCTCCTTTTTACACATTCTGCACACAAAATAGCTCACCCCTCACAGAATTTCCCGCCGAATTTTATGTATGGGGCGGGGCATAAAGTAATTTTGCGCAGAATATGTAACAAAGGAGGGACTTCAAATGATAAAGCAAATGCATATATAGAGAAACCAGACATGTTTTGTAGTGTCAGGTACTCTATTTTGTAATCTGTGAAAGGGAAATCACAAATCGAGTGTCAACAAAATACATGGCATGTTGAGAGATTGAGCTCGTGAGAGAGAATTTCTCTCTCAAATTTGATTTTTTTTGGCTCTCTGGGGACTGGTAGTAAAGCAGGTAAAACTGTATGGGGGAAAATCATTTTTATTTAATTGTCGCTTGTTTAGCATTAATTTCCGGGAAAAAAACTGAACGACAAAGCCCCTGACTAATTTATTTAGGTTGTCGTTCACTTTTTTTACCTGAATATGCACCGAAAGTGAATTATTCCCACTTCTCTCAATTTCTATATGGGGATTTTTATCACTTCCTACCAGCGGAACAGCGCCATCTCTGTGGAAAATATTCGAACAAAATGATTAATTACATGGAGCCGTTAAAGTGAACAAGCATGTACGTCCTGAACTGCTTGGATAACAGTAATGTGACTAAGAATGCACGAAATTACACTTTTTGTTACCAGGTGAATCTTTGTCATTAACAAAAAAATTAATGAGATTTTGACAAAGGTTTTTTTTGTTGAGGATCAAGTCTATTAGTAACTGTGAAAAACAATTTTGTCAATATCGCGCCTCAGTGACAATGACAAATATCAGCACTGGTCTCTGTATGTCACATAAAACCTGTCAATTTCGCATCCAGAGAGTGTCATAATTAGCGATAACTCATTACAGCTAAAATATCTAATGTGTGACCCTCTGAAAGCAAAATTTTCAGGTTTAATGAGTCAAACACAAACTTTACATCCTCTTCTTGCATCGTAAATATAAAAATCGTTATTATAATATCTCATAGTTTCATAATTTCGAAAAGCAGCATGTCAGCAGTAATGAGCATTTCCAAGCCTGATTTCTCAGTTGTTGATTGATAGCCAACCATGAATTTGTCATGATAGCCATGAATTTGTGTATTGTGTGGCAAGCACACCATTGCTCAGGGATGTCGAGAAATGTCCAACAATTTTCTAGGACGGATCGAGTCCGTCACATCCGGCTTGGTAATGCCGTGCCTTAACGGACTAGGTTATCTGAGGCCCCCCCCCCATGCGAATCAGTTTGCTACGAGAATACCACCTTTGATAAGAAACTGCCTCGAACCGGAGTCAGTGCGTCCATTAGGATTGACCATTGCACTGTATTGCGCGCAATAAATTACTTATCAATGAATTGTGGAGCAGATTTGCGGAAATTATCCGTCTAGAGCAAATGGAAAAGCGGTGGGTAAACCTTGGAAGGACGCAAATTAAAGGTAATTGATATGTAGACAAGTTGCTGATAAAGAACTGTGCAAAGATGCGTGTCACCAGTTATTTTCCACAGGAGAGCATTCTTTCCCGGCCAAGTGTGATGAGTTAATCGCATCGGATGATAAGGAACAGTTCAGAAGTTAGTCAAAAGGTGAGTGTTATTAAATGGCTATCAAGGAATATAGATTACACCGATAAGAGTGTCATCGCTTTTGTCTCGAGTGTCTCGACTTTTCTATCAGTAACAGATATACACGTATAACTACAGGCGTATATGAGATCAGCCAGCTTGCAGCTTGAAGGTGATTGACGAACTGAATGGCTCTGCTATATGAGAAATATCACCGATATGAGAGGTAAAACATTGCGATAGTATTTTAACATGTTCCATAAAAATGATCCTTCGATCGTTTCCTTCAAATAGTTTTGGTAAAACAATCATGAACTTTCTATAATCGTTGTTGATATTCACATCGTCGTGATTGTGCGCTGTTAAATTTGATGATTTTTAACTTAGGACTACGTCTTTAATGTCTATACTGGGGGTCACATTAAAAAAATCAAAATTCAGACGTAACGAAAAATCCCAAACACGGACGCAACGATAGAGCGCAAATCGGACACACGACACATTGTGCATGCTCACATGAGCGAGCTCAATGTTCGGTTGATCGCTCGCTCGCCATTTCACCAATGAAAATCATTTACATTCATTTCGTGCATTCATTTACATTCATTTGCCTCTAACTTTTTTCATCAACAAAATTCCATAAAATAGTTTAGGCTTTGATATTATCTTTTGTAAACAATTCAAATATATATCTTTTATTCATGATTAATCAGAGCGATAAGAACCCACCATTGTTTTTCAGTGAATGAAAATTGAATTCACTGAAAAACGATAACATGTTCTGCCAGCTCTATTTCGTCATGCATAAGAGATACAGATTTTAGTTATTAGCAAAAGTTGTAGTTAAACCTACAAAAGCTTTATACATAATTTTACGGTATTCTGTTGATGAAAAAAGTTAGAGGCAAATGAATGTAAATTAATGCACGAAATGGATGTAAATGATTTTCCATCCCTGGAAGGGAGGAGAAAAGCAGCGATAATAAAAACACTTGCCAAATCGTTTTCTTCGTCACTTGCTTGCGAACAACGGACGAATAAGCGTCGAACACGACGTATGAGTGGAACAGCACGCATCGCACCCCTCGGCAGGGTTACCAGGGTATTTCTACAGATTTTTTAGAGTTTTTAAAACCAAGATTCTGTATGCACAGATTACAGATTTCTAGGATTTTAACAGAATACACAGATTTTTAAAATATGATCAAACATTTAATAAATTAAACTTGAGATGTTTAATAAAAAAACATTATTTTCACTTCAGTGTATTTATATCTATGCATACTTTTTTTTTGCGGGATAAAAAGGAGAATGAGAACTGTCAGAGGCCAATTTATGATGCATATATTTTTATCTATTTATTGTCTCTGTCAGAAAAATTGCACAAGCACTTTTCAAATTACATTTTTTAAAGAATTTAGTTAATAAATTCAAGCTGAACATTGCATTAGGTCCTAAGTATCATTGACAGATTTTCTTCGTCGACTTTCTCTTTGTATCCCCACGGCCATCTTAAGACATTTGCAGGTATTTTCAGCACACATATCGATAAAATAAACTATCATCTAGCATCTAATACGACAAATACAACAAGAAACGGATATGTGCTCATGTTATTAATGAAAGAGAAAGTCGACGAAGAGAATCGATCAATCTTACTTAGGACCTAATGCAATGTTCAGCTTGAATTATCAACACAGATATCTCGATGAACATTTCAAATGGTCCTATCTGCTTTGATCGATTCTCTTCATCGACTTTCTCTTTTCATAACCACTGATATGCAAACAGATTTCGCGCTAATTCTACCACATAGTTTGATAAAGGAGGTTCTTATCTAGCGTCCAAAACGTCAAATACAACAGGGAAAGGTTTTGCAGCTGAGTTATTAACGAAAGAGAAAGTCGATGAAGAGAATCGATCAAAGAAGATAGGACCATTTGAAATGTTCATCGTGATATCATCACATATTTTCTGGACAAAAACTAAGATGAAAAGATTTGTTTGAACAAAAACACAGATTTCCTTTTGGCAACCCTGCCCCTCGATCGCACCAATACGAAGAAGACGATGAAAGCACCCACATCGACCGGAGAATAGGCTTCTTGCAATAGGCAGCATGACTAGGCCGCCATCATCCGGGCGGCATCGACTTGCACTGATGTGGCAACCATTTGAAAAACAACCGGCCCTTCCCAGGGCCACCAATTCAAAAATGGAAATAGTTAAGAACTAAATTATAAACATATTTCTGTATCAACAATAGAAAAGGGCCCATCAGCATTTGTAAACAAACCGTTCCAACGCCCATTCCTCACAAATCGAAGGCTGCCCACACAAACCAACACCATCATCGTGTAGGTGGAAGTTTCCCCTATCCGATGATGGTGTTGG